TTTTTTAATATATATAAAAAAAATGTATTATTGTAAAAATCACTTTTTTATTTTATACAATAAATTGATAGTTTTAACCTTTAATAATAATACCAGCTAACAGGGTTCCCTGCATAGTTTACAGCATTAAGAGAGATTTATTTCCTTTAGAAAAATTACTGTACCTGATATTTATCCAAATGAATCTTTATTGAATTGAGATTGTAATCATAACTCAAGCTTATGAACCAAATCATGAAAAGATTTTCCCTAATAAAAACACAAAGAAATTATTCAATTACCAAAAGTTGTCAGCCCTGTTAAATAATGAAAATAATTTATTTACTTGATGATGTTGTTTATATCAACATTAAAATTTAAAAGTATGCATTTGTTTGAATAATGTGATATTATAAACTAATTTGTTGTTTTTTATTTAAGGCATTTATGCAGCAGCAAAAGAGGCATTCTCTGCTCTAGGACCACAGTGCAAAAATTGGCTGAACAAAACTGTAGCCATGGGGGCAGATGGGGCAGCTGTAAATCTTGGACACAAGCGGGGGGTAATATCCCTTGTCCAGGCAGAGGCAGGGAACTACATTGTTCCTTTCCATTGTATGCCTCACAGGTACGTAAACATGAAGCTAACTATCAGTCCTATACATTTCTTGGGTAGCCTTTTCTGATTACACTTTTCTGTGTAGGCTTGATCTGGCTCTGTTGTCAGTGCAAAAGGAAAACCCAATGATTGGGAAAGTTTACAACCTCAGTATGGTTTGGAAAACATACCATTTCAGCAGCAAATCCATGAGGGAGCTGAGGGTCCTTGGGGAAGACCTAGGCATAAGAGTGAATTCCCCAATTGGAGTAAAAGGAACGCGCTGGCTACCACATGTGTGTCACAGTGTCTGGTTGTGGTGCCCTGGACTGGCCACTTGAGGGCGCTCTCCCGTTTCTGTTATATGTTTTGAACTCCATTTCCCATAGTCCCTTGCCTGTCATTTCTGTTCTGATCATGATCACCTGTTAGTCATTTCAGATCATGATCACCTGTTAGTCATTTACTCATCATCCCATCTATATATACCATGCTCACTCTGTCTGTCGTTACTGCAGTATTGTATTCGTTATCTGATGTTTAAGTTTAGACCGTGTTCTGTACCCTGTGTTTTGGATTACCTTTTTGCCACGTTTTTGTTCTGTTTATTTATACTTTAATAAACTGCGCTTGGATCTTACCTTGTTTTCTCCTGGCATTCCGTGACATGCATCACTTAAAATGTACTCAAGTAAAAGTACACAATTTTTAAACTACTCAAAGTACAATTACTGATAAAAACTACTTAATTACTGTAACGTGAGTATTTGTAATCCGTTACTTCACACCCCTGTGTGACACACACCGCACGAAATGTGGCCCTCTAGAGGCCAAAACAGCGTGGGACAATCTTCTGAGTAACCAGAGCCAATGCCAATTCTTTATTTTATTTTACTTGTTTATCCATGTGGAAACCCCCCCACTTTATGAGAAACATCTCCTAGTAATTACATTTTAAAATGAATTATATAGGCCTATTGACCTCATTTGGATGACTATCTTGGAACTGACAGGATCTTGAATAGGCCTAGATGCATAAACTAATCTGACTACCTAATATGAATGATCTGAGTGTGAGATGTGTCGTGTTCATATTAATATTGTCATGGTGGTAACAAATTAAAGCGAGTTGACTGGGGGCCCACAAGACAATCAGCTCTACATCAGATGAAAAGACTGCGGAAGTGTGCAAATGTAGCCTACTTGAGCAATCCCACACTGATTTCACCCAGAGTGTCTGGAACAGGCGTCTGCTAGCTCCTCTTTAAAGAACAAAAGGTAAGCTTTTTAAAAACGAATTTCAATGTTTATCATATCAATATGTGACAAAATTATCTGAAAGTGATTTGAAATATATTTTGTTTCATTTGCTTTAAAATTATAGCCTATATTTAAATTATTATTTTTTTTAATATATAAAATAGTTTAATCAATAATGTTGAATTTCTAACAAATTTCCAAAAAGTGTTTTTAATTCAGTACTTATTTATCCATTGTTTGCTCGCAGAATAGTGAAATCTAAATGAAGGCTTTATTACTGTGAGCAATTAAATTAGCATATCATGAAATGATTTGAAATAGTTGATAATGTTCTGAGATGTTGCAAGTGAATGGGCAACTCGTTGATTAAAGTACTTCTTTTATGTTTGCATATCAGTGTGCTTTTCTGTTCTTCTCATTTGTGTGTAAAAGGGCAAATGATCCATTAGTGTTTATTTCCAGGTTTCTCTTGACATCACAATGAGCAGTCGAGTGGATGATGTTATGCAGCTTTGCTGTGAGGTCTCGGCCAGCAGGAAGATGAAAGCAGCCATGAAGAGCTCTGGAAAGGGAGCTGCAGCGGCTGGTGGAGGTGCTTTTGTAGGGGGGATGGTTGGAGGCCCAGCCGGAATAGCTGTTGGTAAGACCATGCCCCTGATTTCCATGCAATCCGTGAACTTTCATCTACTTTCATCACAGGGTGGTGTTATAATATCTTCTTTAATGGCCTAGTGCAGTGTTAATCAACCATTTTTGCTTTCAGTATAAGGCTACTCCTTCATCAACACCAAACAAGATAAAATATATATTATAAATGACAAATATATGTGCAATTTACAAATAAAGTAGTGGCCAAAATAATTAGAACACTAGTATTTTCACCAGCTAAAATGGTATACATAATGGTAAATATAAATACAAAACCAGTCCTAAATGAAAGAAAAGAAGTTGAGGGGGAAAAAAATTTTTTCAGAGCAAAAAGGACCCGAGCACCACATGAGGGTTAATATTATATTAATATATATTATATTATAATATTGTTTTACTTTAGGTGGTACTTTGGGAGGTCTCTTGGGATGGATTAATCAGATGCAAATATAAATAAAAAACCAGTCCTAAATGAAAGAAAAGAAGTTGACAAAAATATTGAATCCAATATTTGGTGATAATATAGCATAATGAGTGATTTATACGCATTTTTTTTGAGGCCGGGTCATTTTTGACCGGGAACACCACACGTGTGACTTTGTGCCATTTTGTACAAAATAAAAGCATTTAAAAGCGTTAATTAATCATACTCTGTGCATCTCTTAATATATTACTCTAGGTGGTACTTTGGGAGGTCTTCTGGGAACATGGATGACCAGTGGCCAATTCAAACCTCTTCCTGAGATCATCAAGGAGTTGCCTTCAAAATATAAGGAGAAACTGTACTCTGATGTCATGGGTGCATTGGGCACACTTGACTGGACAGACGTGGCTGGCCTTATTGTTCTGGTTATGGGCAGTGCCACTCTGCAAGAGCAAGTGCTTGCTGCTATACTCACTTATGCCAGAAAAGAGCTCAAGGCTGAAGTGCAGTATGGAAACTGACCACTAGAGGGTTGATGTCACCAGCCAGTGGTTCTCAATCCTGCATCCTGTTTCTTTTGTAGCCTACTCGTGTTTCTGTTTCTCTGCAGCTCCTGTTCAGCCTCTTTTTTTTAAGCAATAACATTAGCCTTATGAAGACAATTAGTTATGTGCATAATGCAGGTTATTCAAATAAAGCAGGTTAATTTGTGGCCTGATCTGTGGTGGTTTTCGGTACCTCCTGTGGTGCAGTTAAAACTAATACAATTTTATTTCTGATTTTAAAAAGTTTAAATGTATTATTATTGTTTTTTTTTAAACAATGAGTAGGACCTAAAAAAAGTGTCAAATGACATTGCATGATTTTTTTTTTTTTTAATCCACGGGAACATTTTTGTAGCTACTTTTCATGCCAGGTGAATTTTATTCTGGATAATAGTTTATCAAACAAACATATTATGAAGGTAGAATGACGTCAAAAAGATTTGCATACGCAGGGTAAGAGTTGTGGAAGTGTACATAAGACTGTAAGCGTAAATTAAATTTGCATGCGCAAGAGAAGCTTTGTAAAGGTGTAAATCGTGGTTCAAGCGCAATAAAAAAAATATTTGCAGCATTTTACTGTTACTCGTAAGTGTAATTCATGTATTGTGAAACAGCAGCTTCATGCTAACGCAAAATAAATATGATCTGCATGCTTCTGACTTCCATTTTTCCGCGCTTACACTTTTGGCACGTTTTTTTCGCCAAAAGACGGTCAAAAGCACTGCAAGCCTGTGAACAGTGATTTGCAAGCGAAAACAACAGTTTAAAGAACTGGTTCTATGCAGTCAATCCGTTTTGCAGTTCTTTAAACTGTTGTTTTCGCTTGCAAATCACTGTTCACAGGCTTGCAGTGCTTTTGACCGTCTTTGGCGAAAAAAACGTGCCAAAAGTGTAAGCGCGGAAAAATGGAAGTCAGAAGCATGCAGATCATATTTATTTTGCGTTAGCATGAAGCTGCAGTTTCACAATACATGAATTACACTTACGAGTAACAGTAAAATGCTGCAAATATCTTTTTCTTGCGCTTGAAACACGATTTACACCTTTACAAAGCTTCTCTTGCGCATGCAAATTTAATTTACGGTTACAGTCTTATGTACACTTCCACAACTCTTACCCTGCGTATGCAAATCTTTTTGACGTCATTCTACCTTCATACATATCTAATAAGTCTTCTTCGCCGACTAAAAGCAGTCAACGATGTTCAACTGGTTAAAGACCCGCCTATGAACACGCAGAGAAAGTGCACGTCAAAACATCGCTTATGAATATGAGACCAAAAGTAACTTTAACTTGCCAAACCCCTGCTTTAGTTCAAAGACAAACAGGTAAGAACTGGACAATGTCAAATATATTTACATTATAATTAGGATTTACAGCGCGTCATTATTTTCTCAAACAATTAAACGTAGCAATACCTCGGAAAACGCGACATGATTGAAGAAATGTTTGTTTCATTGGCTGTTTTTTTTTTTCTTTCTTTCTTTCGTTTTCTTTCTGTGTGACAATCGTTTATCGTTGTCTATCGCCAGGTTTTGTAACACGTCAAAATGGCAAATCTAAAAGATGATATAATTAAATTTTGCTGTGAAATCTCCGCAAACAAGAAGATAAAAGCGGCATTTAAAAACTCAGCGAAAGGAGCTGCAGTTGCTGCAGGAACTGCTTTTGTTGGAGGGCTGATCGGTGGTCCAGCCGGTTTAGCTGTTGGTATGTTTATGCATGTTTTCCTTCAATCCGCATCTTTTCCCCCCTTCAGGCCGTCTAGTTCAATTCTCACCACAAGATGTTACTGTCGTATTATTTTATTTCTCGAGGTGGTGCTGTGGGAGGTGTGCTGGGAGCATGGATGACCAGCGGCCAATTCAAGCCTCTTCCTGAGATCCTCATGGAAATGACTCCTACACAGCAGAAGCAATTGTACTCTGATGTCATGGCCATATTGGGTACACTGAAGTGGACTGACCTTCCTCAGCTAATTGCTCAAGTTAATAGGAATGCCTCTCTACATGAGCAGGTGCTGGGTGCCATACTCAATTTTACTAAAAACCAACTCAAGGCTGAAGTGCGGTATGAAGACTGAGCGCTGGAGAGAAGGCTAAATGTCACTGATTAGGTTTAGGTTTTATCTCTTTAATGCATTACTTTATCTTTTACTGTGGGATACTTAGGTTTAGCCATTGATTTTAAACTTTTTATAACTTTTGAACTACCTACTTTTATGTTAGAAATAAGTATATAGACGTTAGGGTATTTATAGCTGACTACTGCTAGTTCTAAATATATTAATGCCAGAAGAATATGGTTGAAACACTGGCTTATTTGTTTCAGAAGTTTAAGTGCTTAGGGACAAACTAGAAGAACAAGTTGCTAGTAGTTTGCATTCTTCATGTCATGTGCAGTGGCGGCTTGTGGGTTTTAAAATAGAGGAGGCACACTAATTGAATTGGTCTGGGATCCCTGCCGATTATTATTATTATTATTTGCTTAACCACTTTAAAATGGCTTTTTAGTTGCTTTTAGTCAGAAAACGTAAAGAAAACGAAGAAAACGA